CACACACACACACACACACACACACACACACACACACACATCCGCGATCTGTGGGCGGATGGGTGTGTGGACACTTGGCGCTTAACCACGCAGATGTGGCCAACCATGCACCTTCTGCTATATTGCCCTTCTACGCTTTTGTTGTTTTATGGATGGTTGGTGACGATTTGTGGACTGAATGAGAGAGAACAATTGTTTTTTCTTAAAACACACACACACACACACACACACACACACACACACACACACACACACACACACACGCACACAGATCCCTGTGTGTGTGTGTTGTCATGTTTGCGATACTCCACAAAGAAAAGAAAAGGATGATTGTGCCAGTCTGTTCTGTTAGTCGTTCACTGACTCATCAGGAAGTTGAACCCCGACAGTCTGCCCAAGATGCATTTGACTAATGGATAAGGACTCACCACGTCGCCCAAAGTTAGTGATACCCACCCTAGAGCGAGAGAAAAGGGGTCTATTTACTGACATTAACCCCGCAATCCTAGCAGACTGTCTGTCCAAACCCGTGACATGAATGGAAGTAATGTGTGCGTGTTGTAGAGTTTCACCACAACAGCCCCTGTTCCACCCAGATGAGTAGATCCAAAATCGACGTAGCTTTAACTCTTCAGCACTTGAGATGAGCCACTCCAACAAAGTGTGTACGTGTGTATGTGTGTATGTGTGTATGTGTGTATGTGTGTATGTGTGTGATGTTGTGTGTGATGTTGTGTGTGATGTTGTGTGTGAAAGCAATATAAAACACATGTATACCTATATCTCCAGTACAACTTGTACAGAAAAATAAAAGACTCAAAATATATTGACAGACTGTTTCGTTGGACTTACACAAAACTCATCAAGAGGCTGAACCCTCGATTGTCAGTGGAGTCGCCGTGCTCATATCGATGTTTTGAGTCATGATCTCTCCGTCAACCCCTGTTGAAAGTGGGAAGCCAAGAAATGACATCAGGAGCAGCAAGGCAAAGGGCAAAGGCAACAAGGCACTGGACGGCACGCAACAGCGAGGCACATTGGCCGGAGGGCATGGGGAAGGCGGTGGGCAGCCACAAAGGACAAGGCCAGCAGCGGGGCAGACTTACGGGCGGCAAAGCAATAAGGCCAGAAGGCATTGAACGGGAAGTAGCAGAAGAAAGGCACAGAGAGTGGGGGGGCCACGTGGGAAGCGCACGGGCAGCCGAACGACAAGGCAAGGAGCAGGTGAGCGGGATTAGCATGATCAGCAGTCAGGCGAGAAGGTTGCAAAGCAAGTAAATGACAAGACAGTGCGGCAGCGCGCGGCAGCTTGGCACAGTGCCAATGACCAGTGAGGGCAACAAGGCAACAGAGCAAGAAAAAAAACCGGCAAGGCAGCAAAGCAGCAAGGGCAGTGCCAACAAGGCAGTCCTTTCACACACTTAAGGACCATAAGAGAACATCCCCCTACTCACACCACAAGGAGAACTCAGCAGACTGTAGGTCCACCACCATCGGAGACTCACGGCGTCCGTTTGATGAACGCCGCCAGTCATCGCCAAACCAACACACAAACACAGGCCCAACACACAAACACAGGCATCGCAAACATTATGATCGCAGGCAGTCCCAACAACGAGCCACCTACTTTTTGGCATGTCCCCTGGAGGTTGTCACTTAAATGCAAGAACAGCGCAGGAAAAGACCCTTGGGTGCATCCAATTAACTGTGTGCACTGTGCATCCACACAATGAATGGACAACAGACAGAAAATAAATACTCAAAAGGAGTGAGACTGTGAGAGAAGTAAGAAGAGAAGAACAGAAGAAAAGAAGATCTTGCTTGCTAAACACAACCCCACAGGAAACGGTGGCCATGACAGACGGTTCGGTTTCGCCATACTCTCGCTGCCTCAAGACGAAGGGTAAGTGAAGTCTAGAGGTCCAAAGTTCGAAACGCAAGTTAAGTGAACAAGTTGAGAGATAAGAAGTGCGCACCGCACTGCCCAGTGAAGCTGGGAGGGGTTCGAACTTTATGGGTTTGCGATTCAGCCAAGTCCAGAGCGGAACTCGAGTACTACCGTCCTCACCTGAATCGAACGCCCTGGCAGTATAGCTGTATTTGAGGCATCTTTCAGTCTAGAGACAGCTATAATGACTGTACGACATACGTTGTATTCGGTCGAAGAAGGTTGTCATTTGCGCACAGTATTTATGTTATATATTCTGTCTTCCTGTGGATCCTGAGGATCCTGTGGACTGAGTTTAGTGGTGGAGTGTGTGTGTGTGTGTGTGTGTGTGTGTGTGTGTGTGTGTGTGTGTGTGTGCCAGGTGTCCGCAATGCGGCGCAACGGAAGCTGTTGGATGAGCTGGGGATAAAACCCGAGCAAATTCCCGTCGACAAGTTCACTGTTCTCGGGCGAATCCACTACAAGGCCCCCTCACATGGGAAATGGGGGGAGCATGAAGGTGCGTGAGCGGACATGATGTTTTTTTTTTTTTTTTTTTTTTTTTTTTTTTTTCCCCTTCACCCTTGCTTTCAATTTCCCCTCTCCTCTGTGTGGTGAGTGCTACTCCCCCTCTTGGCAACCACCTCCTTCCCCTCTCAAAGCCTGTTCTCATTGTTCTCTTTTCCTCTCTTCTCTTCTCCTCTCCTCTCCTCTCGTATCTCTGCCTGCCGGTTTCTTGCTTTTGCCAGGGCATGTGAGTCGATTCACATTTCTTTTTTCTTTTTCTTTTCTTGCAATGAACCTGTTCTTGAAAAGCTCACAGGTTCACAACCAATCAATGTAGCCAGTCATGCTGTAGCAAGCGTGGCAGCGACGTCGATCACTGACTGTTGTGCGGCCGACCTGCCGACAATCATCCACCACTCCCTGGGGACTGTTCAGATCAGATTGTGACGATACTGGCAGTGGGGCGTCCTTTTGCATGCCGCTAACCCCTAGGGAATGTTTCGTCAGAAAGGACGCCCCACTGCCAGTTCGTCAGAATCTGGTCTGACGCCCCTAGGATGATGCAGGCACAATGCGAGCATGCGTATGACTGGAGCATTAGAATGAAGATGGGGTTGTGAATGAGGAGGTGGAGGGGTAGATATTAAGGATATATGGAGGGGTATGTGCAGGCAATGGGGGTGGATGATATGGAGGCTATGGATGGAGCAATAAGGCAGAGGGGGTCGGGCGTGGGCCAATGTACGGTTGACCTTGAAGTTACGCAGTCAGAGCACGTCAGTGGGAACTTGGACGCGACAAGGTGTGGAGGTGGGGGTGTGGGTGGGTCCGCCTTTGCCGTCAGGGTGGCTGAACCCGGTGTGTGTGACCTCCTGCCAGCCCTCCTCCTTCCGTAATATCCCCGACACCCCTACAACCTTTGTACTTAGTTTTTTTTTAAAGAGGAGTCACAGTTGTTCCTTGGAAGAAGTAAAAAGCTCTGTGTGTGCGGCCTCCTGCCTCCTGCCTTCTGCCTCCTGCCTCCTGCCTCCTGCCGGCATTGTTGTGATTCTGCAACTGACACACATGTCATATTGTGATTTGCAGTGGATTACTTGCTAATCATGCGAAGGGATGTCGATCTGGAGCCGAATCCGGATGAAGTGGCGAGTGTGCAGTACGTCGACAGAGCGGCGCTGAGGGAGATCGTACGGAAGGCCGATGCCGGCGAGGAGGGTATCACCCTCAGTCCTTGGTTCAGGTTGGTGGTGAATACATTCCTTTTCAAATGGTGGGACCGGCTGGAGGAGGGAACACTCGAGAGCATTGTCGACCTGGACACGATCCATCGCTTCTAGAAAAGAAGGGCATATTGCCACGCTCTCGCCGCATCTGGACTTCTCTCTACCGTGTCATTCGTTGGCGGCGCAGTTGGCGCCTTCGCAGGGCATCACACTCACACTAGGACTTTTGTACTTGTTTCTGGACATAATTGAGGTCAGATGCATCCAGGTAGGGCCGTACTTAACGGTCGGATACAGTTACGATTCTGCCAGAGTCTCAGTTTGCTCTTGGCCAGCATCGTCGGGAACACTGAACCGCATTATCTTCACAGTTATTTCATCAGATCCTACATGTCAAAAACCAAATAAACAAAAATAATTAAATAAATAAAATAAGATCCCTCGTGCCACTTCATCGCCATCGAACTTCTTCTACTATCCGCAAACTCGTGCTTCCTCTCTTCTATTCAGAATCTCAGATCTTTGCCGGCTTCGTCGGCATTAACACGAGTTCCGGTGTTAGTATGAATGAGAAAGAAGATCGTTTTATGTTGTCTTGTGTCTTGATGACTTGTCCCTTTCACTCTCTCTTCTCTTCTCTTCCCTTATATTCTAGCCTACCTGCGAACCGATCTTAGCTAGCATTCATGTCATCCGATCTGAGCGAGCTTTGTCGGCATCAAGGTGATGTGTTGCACTATTGAGAAGAAGATCATGTTTGCTGCCTCGAGGACTTATGCATTTCTTTCTGCTCTCTTTTTTTTTTCCTCCTCGCCCAATTTCTTTCTGCTCTCTTCTCTTCTCTTCTCCTGTCGTCTAACTTGCCTGCAAACCAATCCTTAGTGTACCTGGATGCAAAGGCATTGACTGTTCACAACCACAGCTTTGATTCTCGGCAGTTTGTTTCCTTTCTTTTCTTCTTTTCTTGTTTTCTTGTTTTTTTTTTTTTTTTTTT